GTGCAAATGTTATGCACTGGGCCTCTAGTATATGTGTGTGTGTGTGTGTGTGTGTGTGTGTGTGTGTGTGTGCGTGCGTGCGTGCGTGTGCTTGTGTGTGTATTAAACATATTTAATAACATTGTCAGTGACCAACTAGCAGAAATTTGGCTGCTAGTGGATAGCTTCTGTATGTTCTATACTTAACTTAGTATCTAGCCTGGTATCCCTGCTTGACCTAGCCCCCAAAGACCTTATTTCTAGCTGATAATTCTGCTTTAAAATTTGTCTGTAATGTAGCTCTTCTGTTCCTCTCAGTATAGTATAGTTATAAATGATAGCTTAGTTTGAACCCAATCTTAGGGAAAGTTGAAAGGAAAGAGACTAATTATGAAAGCAGCATCTTCTTTCTTCTTTTCAGAATGTTTTAGTAAAGAAGTCAATGATCAAACACCCACAAAGTATATTCAGCCTTTTTCCCTTTCATTTTGAGGATGTAATTTAAGTAAAAGGTTGAAGATTTCTCGGAGGTATTTTCCTGCATTGATATTATTAGAGCTGTATTTCAGCCGTGTTTCTTGCTCTGGAGATGTTCTCTCTCCCACTTATCTCTGTAATTGCCCCTAGTGCTCTAATGTAATGCACTTAGATCATCCGGTTCCCTTGCCCCTGATGCTGATCTGGTAGCTCGGTATGACAGGAAACAGTGATTCGCAGTATCTTTGATTGTAATCCTGATTAACTTTGCCTTATGATCTGAACATTAGGCTGGATTATTTCTAATCTTCTTTTTTTATGGAATATTTTTACAGTAAGAGATCTACACGAAAGAATTCGTCTTGCCTCACACAAATGTAACCTAGCAGAATCCACTCTGATGATCCAAAATATGTTTGTTATTCTTTAGTGAAATGTCCATGTTGTCTTAGGTTAGATGCTTAGATTCTAAAATAAGGTGATTGAACAACAACTCTTTAATTGGTTTAAAAGAGCTTAATCTTTGGAAGTCATTTCAGTGTCAAGATTTTACAACATACCCATCTTCCGTGGATCTTAATTATTTGGTTATGGTGCATCCTTTGAAGGCTGTTATTTTTCTACTATAGTGACAGATTTCTACTTTATGACTTAAAAAATCTTAGATCTTATACATTTTTTGCTGTTCTGACCATATTTTCTAATCTTTTGTAGTCTGTAATTTTCTTACTCCTTTTACAAACAGTTGGTAAGGTTCATATCTCTTTGCTTACAGAATAAAAATCTATATCTTTCTTAACCAGTTATGATTATAGTTATGATTATAAAGTAGAAAAACCAAGTCATTATGAGCTAATTTATATAAATTGAGCATATTACTTAGTGATTATAAAGTTCATTTGATGCATTTGCTTTTATTAAATACTACGTTTGTGAGAGATCGAACTGTACCTTTTGCATTTTGTGGTTGAACAACAATGTTTCTAATTTCTGTGCAGGTTGGGCATGTCAAGAGAGGAATCTACAAAGCTCACGGCTAGACCAAACAGTGATGGAGCTGAAAGTAGTTCTTCATGTGGGAGCTCAAGTCTTCCAGGTCTTTCTTCACAGGCTCCCTTGGAAGAACAAAAGCCAAAAATCTTGAAAAGTCCAACTTCTGCAGAGCCTGAGTTCTGTGCTGGGCTCTGCCCTATGGTAGATGTAGGAAAGGAGGTAATGGCAGAGTCAGAATCAGAGGATATCTTGATCCCTGAAGAATCTGTGATTCAGGAGGAAATTGCAGAAGAGGTAGAGACAAGTATCTGTGAGTGCCAGGATGAAAATCTTAAGGCAATACCCGAATTTTTGGAGGAGTCAGAAATTCCAGGCAGTGCTCATGAAGAACCCCAGATAGCAATTCCTGAAGAAAACTTGGAATCTTGTGTTATAATGAATGATGTTTTAGAGACTGAGCCTCACGTTGAGCTGAAGGCGGAAGAGAAATCCGAATCTCCCCAGGAAGAAATGTCCGTGGTTATTGAGCAGCTAGAAGTCTGTGACTCTCTCATTCCTTCCACTTTTTCTGTGACTCACCTCAACGACCCAGAACATACGGAGCCAGAAACTGACACAGAGACCAGTGCTCCAAAAACGAAAACAGGGTCATCTCCTTTAGAAGGCCAGTCTCCGAAGGGCGGGATCGCCGTGGATATGGAGCTACAGAGCGACCCTGAGGAGCAGCTTTCTGAAAACGCCTGCATCTCTGAAACCTCCTTCTCCTCTGAGAGCCCAGAGGGGGCCGGTACCAGCACGCCATCCCCCGGAGGGGAAACGCAGTCTACTTCAGAAGAATCATGCACTCCAGCCTCGCTGGAGACGACGTTTTGTTCTGAGGTATCCAGCACTGAACATGCAGACAAATACAACCAGAGGAAGCCCTCCGACGAAAACCTTCACGCAGCTCTGATATCAGAAATATCTCCCGCGTCCACTTCACCTGAAATATCAGAAGCGTCGCTCATGTCCAATTTACCGTTGACCTCGGAAGCATCCCCCGTATCCAATGTACCTTTAACATCGGAAGCATCGCCCATGTCCGACTTACCGCTGACATCAGAAACGTCTTCAGTGTCTTCCATGCTCCTCACGGCCGAGACCACTTTCGCATCCAGTCTGCCACTCCCTCCAGAAACATCTCCAGCTTCCAGCTCTTCCCTGAATGAAAGGAAGGCGCATCAGCAAAGAAAGTCCCCTTCCCTATCTGAAGACCCGCTCTCTCCGCAGAAGGAGGAAGGCCCCGCCCCGGCCAAGCCCCCAGGAGAGGGCCTTCTCTCTCAGCAGAAAACTCCGTCCCACCCGCCGGAGCCCCTCCTCCCGGGCCCGTCTCCCATGGCTCCCGAAGCGTTTCCGTCCAAAGAGCTCCACAGCAAGCCCCCGGCTCAGCAGCCTGGTCAGTCACACGGTGACACAGAGAAGCCCTATCCTGCTCCGCTTCCAGAACTTCCTTCTGCAGAGATCATCAAAGGGAAAAATCCTAATGTGCTGCCGAGAACAGAAAAGAAAGGGGTGTCTTCACCATTGGAACTGCCTGTCTCCTCTGAGGAGACGGAGAGTAAAGGAACTGAGCTCCCGGCAGCTCAGGCACAGGACCAGCAGTATGTCGCCCCCGGGGAGAAGGCTTCATTTCCAGAAGGTTCCAGGAGTAAAACACATAAGCAAGGAAGCTCGCAGAACCGGTTGGAGACCCCCTATCCTTCCAAGCTGTCAGAGCCCTCCAAGTCACCTGACGGCGTAAGGAACGAGAGCAGAGAATCCGAGATAGCGAAGAGGAAGACCGCAGAGCAGCATGGCTTTGGCATCTGCAAGGAGAAGAGGGCGAGGATCGAAGATGAGCCTCCCACCCGGAACGCGTCATCTGGCAGCCCTGCGGAGAAGGAGCAGCAGCCTCCACGAGAGGAACCCAGAGTCCCTCCTCTCAAGGTACGGTGTTTTATAAGAATGAAGAAAAAGGGAAAAGGCACTTCCATACATAGGCTTTCCCAACTTAGATACTGAATTTTCCTGAAATGAATGAGATCTTGCTCCCTCTGGGTTTTATGTAGCAGTTGATAATCGAACATTCCCGGCGCCAGTCTAATATCAAGATATCCTTTTTAAGACTGTGCGTTGAGCTAATAGAAGTTAGATGCATGTATGTACTTTGACCTCAGCATTTAAGGGAAACGAAGTGGGGAGGCAGAACAGGGCCTGGACTTGACCACAGGCCACTGAGATGCAGGGTCTTTTGGGGACTCCAGGGTGTAGGACAGAGCATTGCACTAAATGAACTTGGGAAAACTTGAAAGCTAATTCCTTGGCCTTGAAAAGTTCAGAAGAACTAGAGAAAGAAGTCAGGGATTCGAGGCATGCACTAAAGAGACGAAGGTACTTGTTATCCCTTCATTCATTTTCCAACTAACATTGAACACCACCATTGCCTAGCAGAGAGGGACCTGGCTTCTGGAAGAGCCTCATTAAATTTCCTTCAACAAATCAATGAAATTGCTTTGTGAACCCTGAAGGGAAATGCTGTGGATATATAGGCATACAAATCCTTTTTTTTTTCTCCTTCTGAGCTAGTGAACGAGGTATTTAACTTCACACAAAACATAAAGCCTGTGGACAAACATTTCTATGTAAATACTTTCTTTTGATCCCAGTAAATTTTAACTCGTGGAAAACAAACCTTTTATATAAATTGGCTCTTCCTGCTAATCTGAAAATTAAGTGTAATTCAAAGAAAGTCTGTTTAATAAAAAAAAAAATTCTACCCACTATAATTTAAACTGATGCCACGCTTGTATCTGAGTCCATTCATATTGTTCCACAATAAAATGGATTATTCCACGTAAGATTGGTCTAGAATCATAAACACACTCAAGCTTTGCTTTTCTTAATCTCTTTTTATTTGCTGTGCTCTGCCACCTTTTTATATGTGACTCATGATCTCCATCAGGTTGGCTTTTAAGAGTGTGGCTGCAATTATTGTTTAATAAAGCAGTCCCTAGTAAATGAGATTCTGGAGATGTAAAAGATGAATATAAAACACTACTATGTGTTTTAATTTATGGGGCAATGGAAAGAAAAACACTAGCATGCTTTTCATTAGAAATCTTCTTAAACGTATTCTTTTCTTCTGCCAAAAGCTTATTTTCAAAGTGATACACACTTTATGTAAAGATAGATAAATAGGTAGATACTACAAGTGTGCTTGGTGTTCGTTTGATCTTGAGGTCTTAAGACTTAATTAGGCTTAATTTTTTTAATGTTCCAAATTTCTTAAACTAAGGGAAATCTTGAAAAGGAAACATTGAATCCCCTCTCTGAATTCCCCTTCACTTTGGAGCGTTTGAATCAGAAGAGAGACATCACACGTTTGAAAATGAGAAATGAGGCAGCTCAGGAAGGTAATTCCATCTGCCAGCCTTCCGCAGCCTAATTCCAAAGTGACATGATCCTGCAGGACTAGTGTGTGTCAGGTGTTTATAATGTGAATGTGCAGTTAAGAAGAGAGATGTTTTCTATGAAAGCTTTTTCTGCGGGGGGAGGGGGATAGAAGAGGGAAGAGGACACATAGCGCATGTCAGCGGCTCTGAATGGGGAGCCCAAAGGCTCTCCCTGAGGCTCAGTGCTAGATGGCCCAATGGCATGGCGATCTGCGTTACCTCCAGAATTTTCCAGAGTGAAATGAGACATTAGCTAGGTCCCTTCTAGCTCCGCCGGTCTCCGATCTAAGGATGTTCTTTGCGACTAGAGAATCGCAGGCATTGCTATGGTGTGTGGGTTGTTACGTCTTGTGCCTCCTGATTGGCCATGACTGTGTCTCTTCATTAGCATGAGTAGGTGAACAGTGTGGGTTGGGACACTGACAAAATTCAGCAAACTATAGATTACCAGGATCAAAAGAAACTGCCTGACTCATACTTCCTTTTAGGGGCGGAAAACCAGAGTTCCATCTTTCCAACAGTCCTTTGAAGGAACTGGACCGGAAGTAACTAGTCTCACTTTACATCTGAGCTCACAGACTTTTTGTGGGTGCTTATTACATATGTATAAGGCAGCAGGCGCGGCGATACGAGGATGCATAAAAACAAGGATACACAGCTAGGGTCTCTGGCTCGTGGAGGGTATTGAAGACACTGAAGGACACAGTGATTTGCGTAGCATCACAACGTTCCTCTGAATACAGTCAGGATGAGAATTCGTCTCCTGACCCCTGGCTAGAGGTGTGTGTATGTAATTAAGACAGATAAACTCAAGTAGAGTTAGGGTCCCAGGTTTTCATGCCAGCAAGGAAGATCATTTAAAAGCTAAATACTGCTATTAGCTAACCTCACTGTCTTTTAGCTAACCTCGTTTTAACAGGCCTGGACTTGGTCTCCATCTATATGAGGCATTAGGAAGATGCTTCATTTCCATGGCAAATGAAGTCACCAGGTTGATGTTTTCATAGCGTAAAAACAGAGATTAAAATGTTTAATTCTCACATCCATGCGGCATGTCATGTCCCTTTGTACCCTGAAGGCCCATCGGGGATTTAGGGGTAGCTCCTGCCACATTATGAGAAAATGCAGCTACTGTTATGTGCCATGCGTCTCCTCTGTGACCACGGACCAACCTTATCTTTCCGCTCTCCCTCCTTGTAGATCCAGCTTTCCAAGATCGGGCCGCCGTTCATCATCAAGAGCCAGCCAGTCTCCAAACCAGAGCCTCGAGCCTCCCCCAGCACATCTGTGGGTGGAGGCCGGAACACGGGGGCCAGGACCCTGGCGGATATCAAGGCCCGGGCCCAGCAGGCAAGGGCTCAGCGAGAGGCAGCGGCGGCCGCCGCGGCCGCCGCC